GTCTGCCAAATGTTTAGGGGTGGAACAACTTTAGCTCATGCAATTTCTCACATGAAAAGTGTGTGTGCGTGTGAGATGACAAGTGTTTATTGGGGGGGGGGATTCCCTTGAAAGGGAGATCCTGTAATTGTGTTAGTGTGTCGGCCTGGGTGGGCGGGTGGGGAGTACTTCCATGTTGGTTGTCGGGAGAGTGACTCATGAATTCCAATAACCCTCAGTGACACTCCGCCCTGCTGTCACCCCCGTGTTTAACATGGTGACACAAAAACAATATGAACCCCTTTGCCTCCTGTCTTAAATCACTCAAGATGTTGCAGGATGCAGTGACCAGGTGGATGGGCCTCCACCCATGCCATGAGTAAATCTTTGTATTCCTGCAACTCAAAGCGCAGAGTATGAATACAGTTTTTTTCTTAAAATGAGACAAATTGGCTTAGCTTTGGAACAGTTGATTAAATGGACCGTAGCCCTGTACTGAATGCAATTGCCTTTAGGCAACAGAACACCTTTTTGCACCTCCTCCCTCCTATTTTTTTTTTTCATTCCTACACACAACAATGTGCTATATGTATGTTAACAATCAAATGAAGTGCAGGAGTGAGTATGATGCATGAATTGGGGGCGGGACCTCCTTTCAGAAAGACAAGTGAAGTGACAGCACGATCTGATTGGAAGGTAAGATAGATGTCACTATTTTGCATCTCATGACTTGATGATAAAAATAAAGAGGTATATATTTATAATGAAATATGTATAGAAGCCTTATCGAACAGTTGGGATACATAGGGTCATAACCTCTGATAGAGGACAGTGAGTTTGAGGAAAGGGAGGAAGAATTAATCAGGTTTGAGAGGCAGAAGTAATACTGGTACTGTAATTACACTTACACTTCTGCAGGCTGATGACATCATGTCCCTACTCTATTACTTCAAGAGGTTATTGGAAGAAGATATCCTTGACGTTATTGTAGAGCAGTCAAATCTATATGCTATACAGTTGGATGCCAACAAGCCACTTAACCTCACTGCCAATGAACTGCTGCATAATACAAATGTTCTGAACAAGTATTTCACTTAATACAGATTTCCCTTGGTGTTTTACTGCCATTATAGCGCAGCATTGCCCCAAGGCAACACAAAAATGACACGCAGTAGTTACAGTAGAGTGAGATTGCTTGTCTGATAAACTTCTTTGCTTTTTATGTATACTTTGTGAGACATTAGTGAATGACTGTATATTGTGTGTGTGTGTGTGTGTGTGTGTGTGTGTGTTTGTTATCAGAGGCAAGGCCACCTCAGGTTCTGAGACACGGTCAAGGACCATGACATCACACTCACTAACATCACCAACACCTCGCTCAGCTCAGCGTAAGAACATGCATGATTTTGTGAGCACAGCCACTCATACTGTATGATTTGTCTGCAATTGCAGAATGTGCATTTTACTATATAACTTGTTTTGTATCTGTGTCTGCACCCATCTTTTACAGCGTGAATGTCGATCTTTTAAGTGTATCCACAATGGATGTTCAAACGTTTGTTGGTTTACAAAGGTTGGCCAAAAGTATTATCCTTGTGCAGGTACCTTTGTGTCGTGCAAGTGTTCAAGTGTGCAATTGTGCAAGTGTGCTGGCGTGCGTCTCTGTGACAGTGTTTGCCGCATTATATTTGCTCATGGAGCCAACAGGGTGAAATAGCTTTTGATTAAAAAGAGCTGAAACAGATGGGGAAAGATCGGAAGATAAAGAGAGACATGAGAAAGGGGGAGATTGAAAGAGGAGGGTCTGGAAAGATGGAGTGATATGTAGCGAGGCATAGGCTGATAAGGCAGCACTGAGAGAGGAAGGCAACAGATAAGAGAAGACCTACTGGAGAAAATGAGAGGAGGAATCAGAAAGATGCCAGGAGCCTTTATAAAATATATTGTGGTTCTCTCCCTGAGTGGAAGTTATAGTCTCTGTTTAGTGGCCATAATGACTGCATGACACAGACACTGTATGTTTGTAGGGTGTGTTTCTTCAGAAGGTTAAAACCATGCCACCGACTAAAAGCATGTTCATTCTCTACAAGCAAAATCTCAAGTTAAACTGTGAGTGGTGTTTGTACTTTCATACATGGGTAAAGTGTGTGCAAGTAAATATTGTGGTAGGATTAAAAAAAGTATTTCCCACATTCCCTTGTACCCACAAAGTTGTGCAACACTGAACTGCTGTGCCTCAAAACACCAGTGTACAACTGTAGCCCAGGTGTGCCATGGAATTACACATTAAAGGGAAAGATATTAATATACAACATGAATGAACAGGCAGTCTGAATAGAATATTGTAGCTTTTCAAGGAGGACTATACATACAGCATTTTGTGAAGTAGACTTCAGAAAAAAATAAACGATGATACAAGCATCCCTACTTGGCTATGATAAATTAATTATTATATCCATCTAATAAAATATCCTGAACATTTTAACAAATTACATCACGTCTAAAAATTACAAGCATGACACAAATCATATAGTCATATTGTTGTTAATTTCTGGTGGCTTTTCAAAATGTGTGAATTTCTACGATAGATCATGAACATATGAAGAATGTTTCTGAATATGCATTAAAGATTCGCGAAACAGAACAATCCAGTAACGCTCCCTTAAAACTTAAAGCAGAGGCAGTCACAAATGTCCGGCCGGTGCCAAACGTTTTCTACTATCAGAGCATCGTTGAGCTAAGACATTCTGTCACAGCATTCACACACACACACACACACACACACACGCACACACACACACACACACGACAGTAAACACAGGGACACATTCACTCTCAACTCTGTCAGGGAGATCTTTAGAGAGTGACGGTGTTCAAAAAAAGTTATGCCATCTAATCTTTTACACTCCTGTGATAGAATGATTAAACACTCATTGTTTTACTGACTGACTGTTTCAAGAGAACAACTCTGCTCTGAAATATCAACGGACATATTTTCCTTCACTGAGTGCACTAAACCAATTATTTGGTTTGTAACGGCAAGTGTAGAAAGCAAATGGAAATGTGCACATTTTTTTTCTTTCAATTTAAATTTCAGCAAATTAATCAAGCTTAGTATGTGTTTAACATAAAAAATATATGAATGGCCTGTTGTGGATTTAAATCTCATACTGAGAAGCACTCCTGCCACAAAACAAAGCAGCGCTTAACTTTTTCACCTAAACGTACTAATATCCAAATTCAGATCATTTACATAGCAGCAAACGACTGTTTGCTATGTAAAGATACAGTGAAATACTGTTGTCCTCAGCATATAATGAAGTCAATGGAGCACTTTTAAAGGAGAGGATGAGGCAAAGTCTATTATTTTATCAGAATCTGATGATGAAAAATAATCTGTACCAGCTAAAAAAAACAAAAGTCAATAAACAACTAAGAATGAAGTGCGCATTTGAGTGTAGTCTTAGACTCTTTCCTAGTAACATAAAATGATAACTACAGAGGAAAGAACTGAGATGCAGATCTTTTTAAATCCTGTTGGAATGAGTAATAAAAACTCCCATTTCTAAAGTAGCGTAAAAGCATGTTGGAGCTTTGTCACTGCCTTCTTCTGAACTTTACTGCTTCATACTTTTTCCGTGAGGTAGCAGATACTTTTTTTTTATCCTGCTGGTATTTGGAACTTTGACCAAATAAAAGTTACTGCAGCTGTCGTCTCCGAACAGCATCAACTTTTATTTGGGTAACGAGCCGTTTCTTTGTCATCACTCGCTGCTTTTCTCTCCCGTCCGTCTGCTCTGTCTCTCAGCACTGCTGCAGCTCACCTGTCACTCTGTGCTGCGGTGTCTATGATGCCATTTGTATTCTTTACACACTTGTAACTGGAAAAGACCTGGCAACTGTTTTCGAACAGGTTGCAATCCATCACTCAAACATCTGTGGGTATTGACTTATCAAAGTGTGTTTGGACTCGATGTTAAATATGCGTGGCAGTTTTGGTTAGAACGATTCATCATGAACAGTTAAATGCAATAAGAAAAAATAATCTTAACTTCAGAAAGTTTAAGAGGTTTTTGATGGGGAGCTACTTCATGTGTGGACACTCAGACTTAAAGTCATGACCTACCCCTCCATGTTATTCCTTTGTTATTAACACACACGCAGGAGTGAGATGTGAGACCGTCCACAGGGGCAGTCGCCCAGGTTAGAACCTAATACAGTGGTATTTTCATGTTTCCCTGCCAAAAGCAACCCTGCAGCTGTGTGTGTGAGTGTGTATGTGTGTGTGTCTGTAATCAAAGGCACTGTAGCACCATGACTTTAGCCTCAGGGCCAAGTATAATGGCACACCTGCAAGACGTTAGATAGGAAAGAGGCTCAAGAAGTCTGAAGACTGCAGCTTCAGTGAAGGAGGGATGCACTGCAGCAATAATGGTATGTTCTGGGACATGCATGCTCCTTATTTAAGCCTAAAAATCAGGAGCAGCTTGTCATCCAACAGACTTTGCTTATCCTCTCATTTTGCACTCACTGTACATCATTTACCTTTTCTCACTCCGTTGCTGCTATACTCACCCAACAGTGTGTCAGCAAGTAATCCACTACAACAAGCCATGTCAGTCAACTGCCACACTTACAAACAACTGATATCTATTTTAAGTAACACTGAGGTCACCACAAATATCTCAATATTCCATTAGTCTTTCCAAAACAGTATTTCAGCTGAGAAAGAACATAAAAAGGGATTTAAACAAGTAGATCCAACGATGCATCAATGAAAAAAAGCCACTTCCTGATCTAAACTTTATTTAAAAAAAAAGAATAGGCCAAAAATTTCAAGAAGTCAAGTTATATGCATAGGCTACAATAACACAAAATAAAGTATATTAATTACAGGCTAATTAAGTAGACTTTGTTTTTTTACAAGATGGTCACTATAACAGACCTTTGCAGATACGCTGTGTCAGCAGTAAAGACGCGTACGCTAAACACAAATAAAAAGAGCGATGATAAAGACTCACCGTCTCTCCTGATGTTGCCCCTCAGCAGTCTGGCGGAGGACAAATCACCCCATGTGACCCCGGTTAAAGTCCCCAACAAAAAAACCGTCCATATCTGGAAAACCACCGGTGAACTCATGGTGAGTAATAAAGAAACTCGTAAAAACTCTGAAGAACTTATCCGCCTTCCCGTAAATGAAATGTGATCCACTTGAAATGTCCCGCGACCAAGAAAGACAAAACTAACTTTCCATTCAGCAACTTCAACAAGCTTTTATATCTCTGTCTCTTCTCCTACAGTATGAGAGACACTTGTTGACTTCTATGTCTGACGCCTGGCGCACACGGTGTCCCGTCTTGTGCCAAAATGCCCCAAATTCCAAATATTTGTCCTCGTCTGAAAGTTACGCGCACGCAGCCACCGAGAGCAAAACTCCGAAACAATTAAGTGCAGGTGGAGGGTAACGTTGAAATAGCTCCGTTCACGGTCAGACATGAGCTTATAGGCGCCGAACGTCTTATCACCGCGAAATAAATAAATGATGCTCAGTCACCGAGAAATATCCCGCATAGTTTACTGCTTTCTATCAGACGCGCCTGTGCTATGGAAGTCGGCGCGTCAAACTTTGAGTGGTGCGCGCTCACGGCGTGTGTGTGTGCGTGTGTGTGTGTGTGTGTAATTTAGCGAGATGCTAGGGCGGGAGGTCAGATAAGAGGAGGAAAAAAGCAATTTAAAAGACACTTTAGTGGAGAAAATCTATCTATCTATCTATCTATCTATCTATCTATCTATCTATCTATCTATCTATCTATCTATCTATCTATCTATCTATCTATCTCATTACTACTTTATGTTAGTGTTGGCATACTTTCGTCTTCAAAGTGGATTGAGGAAATGCGCCACTGAGGGAATATTTTTTTAAGGAAACCCTCAGAGAGCACAGGGAGGGTCATCAGCTCAATAGGGAGGAAGTCTCTGGAGTTAGAGCTTCCTACACAGAGAGCTAAGGAAACAGCTGACATGACTTAAGTTGGATTCTGACGACAGAAAGAAGGCCATTGCCTACTATTAATTGGGCAAGCTGTGTAATGGGGGCATCAAAGTATACAAAAAAAAAACTTTAGAATTATCTTGACTGTCATTTTCTTTTCATGGAATGAAATGCTTTAATGATTTAAAAACAGCTACAAGGAATTCCTGTAAATGACGCCATCCGTCCTCACTCTGTGGTATTTTGTTCTTCAGATCGCTATCTGTTTGAAAATAAGCTCCCACAGATCATCTAACACAACACAGATGACATGATTGCACTTGTTGAGGATTGTAATATGTGAATCCAGCTAATGGATTGCCAGGAATTATTCAATAGGCAGCTTTGTGTAAGCCGAAGGCGGAGCATTTCAGACAGACTTTACATTTGAGGTAACTTTAGAATTATCTCAGAATTATTTATCCACCGATGTAAAATGTTAAGGTGCTACATGCTGTATTTGCAGCGAAACAAAGCAGTGCTCTCAACACTACAGCTAACGTTTATTCAGCACCCCTTTTGAATTTATTTTTCGGTCACTTTCTCACTCACACTTAACACCCCATTCACCACCAGGTCTCATTTTAAGAGTTATTTAGACTTTATGGGATGAACTTGCCAACTTGAGGTTTCTGCTGACTCAGCACAATGCCTTCTCATTGCAATCGGCTAATGAGTAATGCAGCACCTTTAAAACTTAGAACCACTTAGGGAATGATATAGGTTTATTAATAGAGAGGGGAAATTAATTAAAATTAAAAGCTACTAGACCACCCTGCTGAGCTTCAAAGGCATAATGCACCCGGGGAGTGGATTTCTAAGTACACATAAAGATCGCTGGTGGGCACAGATGTATCGCACGCCTCGCATTCACATGATGCACACACACACGCACACACACATACACACACACACGGATACATTTGAATCTTCTTCTCATTGCAACTGCAACCTGCCAAGGCTGTAATTATAAGGGACATATCTGGACATCAAGACGATAATTTCACACACGAAGACAATAAATTACATCAATGGTAAAAACGGACAAAGCAGGGACAGGGCACGACACAGTACTATAAATACAGCTACAACAGTATGATGTTTGAGTATGAAGTTAGAGAATCGCAGTATTATTCAGTGGATCACAGTGCAGTTTCAGTAGCAGATATTATCTTTCTCTTACTGTATTTTCCCCTTCTTCTGTCTTTCTGTGTGTGTGTGTGTGTGTGTGTGTGTCCGCAGCATGTGTCTGCTTGAATGATCTGGCATTACTCTTGTCTTCCCTGAAGAGACTTCACAGTGAATAGACACGAGCTACTGTAGAGTAACCTTCCTGGCGAATATGCGTCTGTGTGTGTGTGGGGGCGGCAGGCTTGCCTCAAGGCTGAAACGTCAACCACTAAATTAAAAGGTGCTGATTTAATCCCCATCACTGATAGACCTGTTGTAATTGCTGAAGGTCCCTTGAGCAGAACTCTGCACAGTATGTTGTCTCATGCAAAGATGTTTGCAAGTATTAAAGAGCAATATTCCAAACAAGATTTTATAGAAAGTGATGAAAATTACTTTTTAAATACCACATTAAAACCATATTGCTGGACTGAGAAGTCCCGTTTCCTAAATTGTTGCTGAAACAGATTTCACTATTGGTTTTCCCAGATAATCTTGGCAGAGGCTGATGCCTATATTTAGGTGGTAAGCATACCAATGGCGGGTGTGTGAGCTGTGACTTGCCACAATTATAAAGTTTTACAGACAAGTATTTCCACATCCATTGTTCCGTGACCAGACGTCCCAAAAAAATTCAGGACAATCCCATATTAAGAGCAGTTTTCCCAAATCCCTTCTTGTTAATCCCAAAAATTTGACTGAACCCGAGTTTTAATTAACGATAGCCTTATAAAGCATTAGATACTGGTCGTTGTGAATTTTGGTGTTGCCCACAGACTGTTTTTTTCATAGTCTACGTGAATTATATATGTGTACAGTAGTGTGATACACTAACACTAATACACTAACAAAATGAGGGCTGGGAAAGCGAGGACAGAGGCGGTAGGAAATGGAAATTTAGGATTTGATTTAGAGAGAAAAATGGTGAAGTCAGTTACTCAGTCATCATTTATTGCTTTTTATGCCACGTAATAATTTCTAATGTCTCTGTCTCTAAGTCACATCTATTCATGCCTGTGTGAGTTTATGCTTGCATGTAAGTTTGCACAAATCCTTCAACCTTTGTTTTGCAGAGAAGTGACTCACCCATGCAGTGTGGGAGTAGAAAATTGTCTTTGACCAAAAATCTGGTAGTTGAAAATGTTTTTTAAATGCAACTCTGAGGGTAAAAGTTCAAGTTCATGTCTTGCCTTTTAAAATGTAGAAATATCTTCTCCTTAAAATGCCACATCTGTCTGCAGACACTTGACGTCAGATTTGCTCCACCACTATAGCCCATCCATCACAAGTTAAAGGTGAAGAGGGCAAAGATTTTCTCTTTTCATTTTTTTATTTCTCTGCCTATTTCTTGTTTTGTCTGTCCCGTCTCATCCCTTGCTTACCTCTTCATCCTTCGGCTTAATGTCAGATGAAGGGGGATTAGCTTTGGGAGAGGGATACGTGACCAGTGATTTAGTGTGTGTGTGTGTGTGTGTGGCATAGACGTGTGCATGTCGAGCATAGTAGAGCTATTCCACGGTTTTAACAAATATAAGTTCAGCTCGTGCATAGGGAGTCAGACAGAAGCAGTGTATATGTTGCCCTACAGATGTATGGAAGAAGTAATTTATGTTGCACAGATTACAGTAAATAACATTTATTTTTACAATTAACACTTGAAATGTTGAAGGCACTTGCAAATGACAAGGTAGTACAACATATAAACTATACTTTGGTGGTTTATGTTTACCTCTTAACCTAAGATCTCATTCAACTTTTGTTTTCTTTTTAAAAAATGTAGCAAAACACTGGCAATGAGGAAGACGTTGGTAGATAATGAGAATAAATATGAAACAAAACTTAAATCATACACTCTAACCCTACGAGTACACTCTAAACTAAAAGGAAATCAGGTTTGATTTGAAATCAAACCAGATTACTAAGCTTGTTTACAATATATTTAGTATATACTTGTTTTGATTCTCTGAGTGCTTTCCTGTACTTAAGAAACTTTGGCATGTAGATGCCAAACAATACTAATTGATAAGATTTGTTGGAGTTGGAAAGGTAGACAATAGACAAATGATTGATAACCCATCATTTATTTAATTCTATATACATTTTGGTTGCCAAAATAAAGCAACAAATTGCCTTCATCTATTGTTTAATTTCCTGTATGTCTTCATGTGTCTGTTCAGGTCAGAGTGGCATATTCCTCCAGATTCCCACAGTAGCCTGCCTGTCTTGGCTACCCTCTGGGAATCTCTTAATGAGCTTAACATCTGTGTGTGTATGAACACGCAACTCAAGTGTGTGTGACTACCCATATATGTGTGTCACCATATGAGCAATTGGGCGGGCAGGTCTTGTAAGGCTGGTGCTTGAATGGTGTGACTGTGTAGGAGGTGAGTGCACGTCTGTGGAGCGTGTGGGTGTGAGTGTGTGTGATTGTGCGTGTGTTTTCTGACATGCTCCGTTCAGTTGTGTTCCACTCCCAGGTTTCAGCAATTAGAGATTCTGTAACTGCAGGCTGAGTTATGACATCCTGTAGTCAAGAGGGATGTGACCCTGTGACCATCAGTGTGTGACGCATATTCACTGTGAACACACACAATCGACACACATTGCATGCACATACAAATCAGCTTTCATTTTGGCAACAATAGGTGTGATGCAATATTGATGGATGACCCTTTTCCACCATTAATGAGCTAATGTACTAAATACAAGATTGCTTTTCTAATCAAAACCCATGATACTTCATTAAGTCTATGCTACTCTCCAAAGAGCGATACACATTTACAAGCACACTCAGTAATTTGGGGTTCAGTGTCATGGCCAAGGATACTTTGGCATGTAAACTGTAGGGGCAAGGGATTGAACCACCGTCTTTCCGATAGCATCTGCTTTCCTCCTGAGATATTCAATAGTTGGCGCTTTTTGATACACCATGCCCCCACATTTGAAATAGTAGAACCGCCACTGCCAATGAAATCCAATGGTGACAACTCTTCAGTTAATGAATAATTTGTGATAGTTTTGATGAAGCAGTGTATTCACGGTTTAATACTTTACTTCTATCTCAAACCTAATGCACATCCCTGTTGAGCTTGTTAGTACATACAGAACATGTGATTATTATTTGTAATTTTTAGGATTTTCAGGTTGACTTGTTTTTTTTATTCAAAATTGTTTGGCCTTTTGCTGTCTTGCATTTGAATCTATCGTTAAAGGCTGGAAAACCTCCGGCTATTCAGAACCTATCATGAAAAATAATTAAAGAAATTGTGTATGAAGGTCACCAATTACAGTGCCTTGTTATTTGCCCATTTCTTAGTCCTTTTCTCATTTGGATTCTCATCAGCTGTTACCATTTGAACAGCTAATTTGTATTACTTTATAATGCTAGAATCAACTTAATATGAAAAGGTAGCAGTCTTATTTG